TGATCATGTATTACTATTACCGGCTACATTATTTTACTGTAGCAAATTGCCTAATTGTCCCACTAGTTGTCATTGATCGGCAGTCTTTACTGCCGCGCCATAGCATGTACCAAAAGAAAATCTCTTTTTTCCTCACTTTATTGCTTAAATAGACAAATCGGTGCCCTAACTCTCAGATGTATCTCTCACCCCCTGTGATTGTTAATTAACATGCTAAGTTGATAAGCACTAGAAATGAAAAGGAAAAGGAAGTGTGTGGTTTGTATTCAATCAAGTTCTGCTCTCCTCCTTTCTCTCTATCTCCCTTCCCCTCTGTGTGTGTGTGTTAAAGTGAAAAATGTTTAATTAGTTTTCATGGGGCAAAAGTTCACATGTGGATCATTTGTGATTGATTGGTGTTTTTTTTTTTTTTTTTTGCTTACAAACTTCAAGGAGTTCCTTTCTTTTTTTTTTTGAAAGCTTCAGCTCTCCAATCGAGGTTCAATATAAGGGCTACTTCTTTAGAATCTCAACTATAGGGGTGTTCTGTTCAAGATCAATCATTCTATTTTAATCTAATCGAGTGTGGGTTTTGTTTTATTCTATCTACTGTGTGTTCATAATTGTGCCCAAAGATTACTAACTGGGCAAATTTTCTTTTTATAATTGTGCTTACTTGCTTTCACTTTTTTTACAAATAAAATTTGCAGCCACAAAATCATAAATTCAATAATAAATTCAAACTCAGAATGACAAATTCTGTAATAATTCAATCACTGACTATAGTTACTAAATCAAAATGATCAATTAATTAGGATCCTCCCAATAATTGCTGACATTTCAAATTCTAGTTGTTGATTTACATTGGCGAAGGCTTGATTATAGTCGGTTACCTTGAATCATCCTAATCTTCTTCTTGAAGCTCTGAAATCAGATAAAATCATATAGACAGCGATCACCTGCATAGTATTTGGTCTTTGTATGTGTGTGTTTGCAAGAGAGAGACAGAGACAGAGAGAAAGAGTATGAGGCTCAAAGTATATGCTGATCGACTGTCCGAACCATCTCGAACAGTTCTCATCTTCAGCGAGTAAATCTCATTTTCCTTCCAATCATGTTTTTTCAATTTTTCATTCGTTTACTGATTCTATTGCTTTTGTTGGTTTTCTTATTAATTTCGTTTGAATCTGCCTCAATGTCCTAAATTTCTGGTGTATACTATTTCTACCAGTATTGTTTAGTTTGTATATAGTACCTTAAATCGACATGTTTTTGGTATTTGGGAAGGATTAATGGAACAGATTTCGAGATAAAAGTAGACCTATCCAAACGCCATCATTTATCTCCTGAATTTAAAGGTGCATTTTCCAATAATATTTGTAGCAAATCTGTCTGATTAATCTGGTGATAAGGTATTGAGGTTTCTAAATTAAACATGGCTTAGATTTGGGCAAGTTTTTTTTCTTTTTGGGGTTTCACGGGTTTTGGGGTGTTTTAGTTTGCTTGGGGGTCTAGTGTTTTTGATTGGATTCTGCTATAGAATTATTGAATCTGGTAATTGCAGAATTTGCTATTATAATTTTTTTTTCTTTTCTTGCTTTTCTGTTGTGCTGCTTTTACATGAATTATAGTATTATGGATACAAATTCTTGTTTCTTTAAATTGTTCTATCAATAATTTCTTTGCTTAAAACCTAATGTGAAAATTTGATGATCAAAGGACGAATGTGTTGTATATTTCCTTTACGTGTGTTTCCTTTCAAAAATAAACCCCATGACACAAGTAACGGCGATCTTCGATGGAAGATTTAAGCTGTTTGAGAGGTAATTAAAGATTATAGGGGTTAGTAGCTATCAATTAGATGTGTTATGTATGTAATGTTCTTCTTTGCTTCTTTTTTTTGGTTGATTTATACTTAACCATTTGACATTCATTATCGTGGGCTTCTAAATCAGTGTTTTGATTAAAGTATAATGTGTTTCTTGATCTTCTTATAGCAGTGAGGACACTAGAGATCAACCTTGAGCGCCATTATTTCTTGTAATACAGCCTGACATGATTCAAGTACGTTTTTTTTTTTAGTGATGCATTATTCAACAGTAGTTTGCTTTCATCTTTAAATACTTGTTGATGGGAAAGCCAAAATTAATGGCCGTCAATTCTAATCCTCGTGGCTCGGCATTTAAAATATGTTATACTCTTTTTGCTTCTTGTTATCTTGATTTCATTTTTTTAACTCAACTATTTTAACGACGGGTAAATTTTTGTAAGGTACAAATTGATGGAAGCTCAGAAAACAGCTTTGAAAAGTTCGTCTTCGAAGACAAAAGATGAAAGATCTAATAATCTGTCAAAAAAAAAATATATATGTAGCTGAAACTTAAGACCTTATGATGAATTGTTATACATTCTTATTCTTCAATATTGAGACATTGTACATGTATAATTTAATGATATTAATATCATAATATTATTTTCACATAATTTAATTTAAAAATTATATATTTGAAATTGAGTGTCTATCGATTTCTTGAACCATAATAGGTATGCGAAATTGTGAAACATTCAAAATAAATTCTTTCAAATATGTAATAGGTTTTTTTTTGTTCATTTTAATGTTTAGCTGCGACAATAAGTTATCACTAAAAATATGTTCTAAATTTTAGTGGTGATTTTAATTGCGGATAAAATGTATATTTTTAGCTGCGATCAATTGTTGTCACTAAAAGTCAAGTTTTAATCGGACTTTTAGTGACGACAAGATACATTTTAGTGACAAAATTACGTTAACTTATTACAATAATTATTATCGATAAATATTTCATATTTAGTGACATTTTTCATGTTGCGGCTAAAAAAATTTACTTTTATTCACAACAAATTAAATGTTGTAGCTAAATGATTTAACCAATGATATATAGCCACGGTCTAGTGGCAATAAAAAAGTTGTCACTAAAATATATAGTGACAATTTTTATACATTTAATCGCAATAATTTTCACACTAATTTTTTGTAGTGAATGCAAAAAAGAGTGTGGCCGATCTTGGGCCATACTCGGGTTGCATTGGGTGGGTTTGAGCTAACAATGGACAACCTAAAGGAGATTTGTGTGCATATCCAACACCTCTTTCCTGCAATAAATTCACTATTTGAAAGACTTATATGTACATCCAACACCTCTTTTGTCTTTCCTGACATAAAAAAGGGCCAAACTCAAGAAATGGTGGCAGGTGAAGTATATATATGGGTAAATTATATTTTGTTCCCTCAATCAATGATCTTTTTTTCACTTTGCCTCATATTTGGGTTGTCTATTATCTCATTTGGTCAAATTAAAGATAATTATGGTCATTAAACACTAAATATGGAAGGATTTTTTCGAAGATCAACGAAGGCAAGTGCTCCAACTCCCCTTGATTTTTAAAAATTTGCATAGTGGGCCTGTTTGTTTTTCGTTTCAGTAAGAATAACACCATTAGGTGATAATTGCAGACAAGTTTTCTTTTCAAGACTTATAATGAGTTAGGTTCATCATTTAAACATATTTGAGAATAAATTTTATTATTAACTTTTGAGTTAATAGCATTTTTTATCATTAAAGTATGTATTTTTTGTCAGTTTAGTACTTAATATATAAATTTTGTCAATTTGATCCATAAAGTATTCAATTCATGTCATTTTAATTTTCATATAGGCAAACCGTCAATTTTTTGATAGAATGATCACATATTGACACGTAATACCGTTTTGTCAAAAAACTTAACTACTAAAAATTCTATTACTCTCGTTTGCTATATCTTTCTTTTTTTTGGTCAGACTATCCCGTATCCGGAAGTTAGAATAGACTCCGTCTAATTTGGATTCGAGCCGGGTAGAACTACAAGAATTGCAAAACTCTCCCTACCAAGCGTAGTTACATTCCTAAGTCTTGAACCGAAGATATTGATTAAACTAGAACAGCTCCTCACCTCTCGTTTGCTGTATCTTTCAGCAACGAAGATTGCCCCCAATCGAACTACAATACTTTTGTTTATAGTCATTTTCATGGTAATCACAACTATACTTTTATTATCAATGTCAGAGTCAACAATGTCTCCAGGGAAGAAGACAAAACCCAAAAAGAAGAGGAAGGCAGAGGCGATGAACCAATAATGGAGCGCTGCTTGAGGCTCTTCTTCGGTCATCCACATTCCACTATTGCCTATAATATGAACGAGATCTTTTATTTTTGAAATATTTATGGAAATTTTATTTATTTTTAGAGAAAAATTTCTTATTACGTTATTATTTTAAGCTTTGCTAAAATATATTTTTTGATTAATATAGAATGAAGAGTTGACTTTTTTTATCTTAGACATTATCGAACTGACAAATAATTTATTAATTTAAATTTTGGAAAGCTTCTATTTATAAAAAAAATGTTATAAAATGTTAATAATTATATTTTATAAAAATAATGCACTTGAAAGAATAAAGTATTTCTATCTAATTAAGTATCTCAAGTAAGTTGTTTTCTTTTGTTTGTAAAATTTTTGTTAAGATATTTAAATCTCAAAACCAACCTAGACCATCAATAGCAAAAAAAATTATATTTAGTCAACACTGGATATTAAGACAATATTTTTAAAATTGTTATTGACTAATGAGTTTAAAATTTCAAATTAAATAAAAAAATCATTAAATTAAACTCAATATTTATCTAGTAGATTCAATTGTCTCTGTCATTAAATTTTTTTATTGGGGGAGAGGGAGGGGACAGTTGGGACCTATGAGAGTGATTTGATGCCTAATTTATTTTTTTAGCATTGAAATGTATGGTTTTTTTTTTTCAAATGCTATTGTATAAGGTTAATGAGTTGGACTTTTGAGCTTAAAATAATTTAATATTTTTTTTGTTGGTTTCAGCCTTTATGGAGCCCTTTTTAGGGCTTATTTCTAGGGGTTGAAATTTGAGGCTTCATTCAAAGATGGGTCTAAAGTTCATGCTTCAATTGTGACGCTGTTGACCCGTCCTGCATGCATGGCTATGCTACTGAGGTATCAGCCAGAGCACCAGAGTATTATGTTGAAGCCCTTGAAGAATAAGGTTCCGAAATTCAAGAACAATGAAACGACCATGAATGTTTATCTTTGTGAACTTTACATACTACAGTGGAGTTGAATGTTAAAGATAGTTTTTGTTGTAGTAGAGGTCGGCTATGTCGGACTCGTATATGTTTGGTTTTCACCTAAATTCATCAATTTTGTGTAGAGTTGGTGGATCTTATTTACAGTTGAGAGGGCCACTTGTTATGCATTGCCTTGAATTGAAGTATTGCATATTCTAGAGTGATATTAAGCCAATGGAACACTAATATCTCCGTTGTGCTGTTGGCAATGATGGATTTAGGAATTTAGTGTAAGGACAGTCTTTCAACTTTGTATTTTGTGAAGTGAACATTTGAAAGTATTTATAACTATCGATATAGTATTTATAGAGATTTTTCAAATCTTTGGAGATCAATCACTCCCAAATTTATCATCGAGTGTAGAACTGGTAGGTCACTATGTGCCCAAAAATAAGTGCATGCAATTTTGTAATTTTGATACCAAATACTAGATTCAATTATATCTCTTCCAATGAATTGGTTCGGATTTATGCTTTTCATAACACTGAAAATTATGTGATACCCTTCTCGTAAAAGAGTGCACATAGATATTACACACTCTACCGTCAAGGTCGTTTGATTTCTCAATCCACATTAGGTCTTAGTCATTGCACTTGCACCATAATTAAGTTCACATGCGATTGTAAGTTGGTCCACATTGAGTTCAGGGGCGAAGTTAGACATCTTCTCTAATGGGGACAACTTAAACCATATAATATTAAAAAGAGCTAATTAAAAAAAAACTCACTACAAAGTAATCTATAAGATCTAACAAACAAATTTGAACACAAAAAATTGGACTCAATCGTATGTCAAGTATATGCATGGGAAATTCCAAATTATCAAGCATCCTACAATTCTTAGATAACAACACAAGCACTGAGCAAAATCTTTTATAATATTGTAATCTACAAAAAATAAACTATAGAAGAGGACTGCAAGTCCCAATTTCATTTCCACCTAGGAAAATAAATATAGAACTATAGTGGAGGCATTTTGCCTTTTAAAGCATTTTGTTGACATTTACAAATGAGACACATATTTTTGTCAAAACAACATAACTACTAGTAAATCTTTTAAAAAAAAAAAAACAGGGGAGGTAAATCTCTAATGAATTTTAAATTTTTTGAAATTATACTTATGCTCCTCAAAATTTTAAAATTCCAGTGGGGATAGTTGTCCCCACTATGTATCCACCAATGATTGGGTGATAACTATTGAATATTTGATCATAATCAAGTGGGGCGTGTTGTGTATAATTAAATTTTTCATTCTATAAAGCTATATATTCTATTCTCTACACTTAAAACTTGAAAAAAAAAATCAGGCTCTCCAAAATGATATTACTCCATTTTGAAGGGATACGGAGCATAGCGTGTTTTTCTAACATACGAGCATTTGTCATTGCTCTAAGTCCTACCTCAATTTTATATTTCTTTTTTCTCTTCTTGTGGATATATTATGTAAATCTAATAGGCAACATTTGGCTAGGTAAAGGATATTAGTGGGATCATATTATACCTCACTTAAGCCCACCCAAATTCAAGTGGGCATGTTACTACCATCCCTAGTTGATCAACTCTCCCGCCATAAAAAAATATTTAAAAACAAAACTTAGAGCTATCATGATACAAGTGACGTACGGATTATTACATAGGCAAATCATTTTTAAAATCTCATCACAGGTTTATCGGATTGATTGCACCAATGAATACAAAACTCATCAAACTCTGTGGATTGGATTTTTCATCTGGGTTCTGTAGGAACAAGTCATAAAGATTGAGAAATAAAACCAGCTGATTTTGACTTTGACATACAGGGTGAATAGGCACGGGGAACTCCGACAAGCTCATGATCTTGTCACCTCTTGTAAGAAGGAAGGATGTTGAAAGGAGGGCGTGGCTTGTCGTTCAAGAGATTGGAAAGTCACACATTGAAGAGGTTGGGAAGCATTCGATTATGCGCAGGACAGGAATTCCAGCGCGGGATGTTAGAGTTCTCGATCCCAAGCTTTCGCACCCATCCAAGATACTTGGAAGGGAGCGCGCCATTGTGCTGAATTTGGAACATGTTAAAGCTATCGTCACGGCAACTGAGATGCTCATTCTGAATCCAAATGATCCTGGTGTTGCGCCTTTTGTCAGTGACCTTGAGCACAAACTCTCTAATTCTGATGGCTCTCAACCTATTGTGAGTAGATTTTCTCTTCATAAATCATGAATCAAGTGTATTGTTTTCATATGAATCTTTTTAGGATTTTTCTTGTTAAAATTGGTTGTGAAAGTAGTTTTATTCTTGTTTTTGGGTTGAAGATTTCAAAAAAGAGTGATGCAAATGCTAGTATGCGGTTATCCTAAGATGAATCTTCTTCATAACTTTTCATCTGTTAGTAAAACATCTTTGAAATTTATCTATTTACCAAATTGTCACAAAGCAACTAATATTATCACTGTTTTGATTGGTTATAACCAAGACAAAATCTGGGGATGATAGTAGCTCTTATACAGACCGATAAACACCGACTCTTAACTCTTTTAGTCTCCTGATAAAAAAAAAAACTTTTTTTGTCGAATAGCTTAGATCAATTACCTTCTATAAAGCACGTATTCAAATGGTTTGTGTCATTTAGAGTTATCAATTTTAACTCATTATCCATTAATCCACTCAACTCGTCCATAAATAAATAAGTTGGGTACCTATATTAATGAATATGGATTTTAAATGGATTGAATATTATGACTCACTTTAATTAAACGGATTAAGATGAATTATAAATGGGTACTCATTGAGTTGAATATTTATTTTTGTATTACATAACAAAAATAATAAATTTAAATATAAACACTAATACTAATACACCAAAAAATACACGTGCGTATAGATCTTGAACAATATAAACACGAGAACAGAACTCTCCCGTGGTAAACACGTATCCGAAATTGGGTGGTTGAGTTTGCTAGTTGAACAGGTTGTGGGGGTCGAAGGTGGATAATCAATCGTTGGTATGAGTCACCTGAGTGATCTTGAAAAACTGAAGGGGGTTCCTGGAACAAAGAAAAACAGGTTAGAAGGGCACCAGAGTATTTTTCGGCGTATCCTCTCCGACGATCAAGTCAGTTCTTTGAGAGAGGAGAAGAAGAGAACATTGTATGAAGGTTGAGATAGGGTTTATTGCGTACCTCATCATGCGTTTTGTGAGGAGTATTTATACCTTAAAAACTCATGATTGCTGTCAGTATGGCCAGTAGGTGATCATTAGAGATAGGTAACGTGCGCACTGATTTTTAGAAGAAATGACACCTTTCTTAACTGCTCAGGACCCCGAGTAACCAATGCATCACCCTCGGTCTGTTGAGCGTTTAATGACCTTCACTCGGTAGGGATATATTAAATGCTCGGTCACAGGAACATTCATTTTCTTTCACTTTCGGGTCTTCACGCATTAAATGTTGTCTCATCAAGAAAATGTGCATTAAATACTTGTTTTCCCAAGTCGTGTGTCAGCAAGGGCATTCTGATCTTTTCGCCTCTAATCTGCCACAGTACGCCACGTGCCAACTCCCTTTGGTTGAGTCTTCTACTTTCCTATGCGTCCTGATACCATCTAGGTAAGACCAAGTCATGATGGCTAATCTAGCCTAGTCCAGGCTGGTGACTTGTCTATCAATAGCCCTGCAGGAACAGGAACGCCGATGTAATGGGTACACATCGGTGCCGAGGGCCTAGTACGGTTAGGAGCTGATGTATCCACCCATTTGACCGAGGAATACGTGTCACCTGTGTATACCGGTGTCGTAGATCCTTATGCATGGTACCATCTCGGGGGAAGAGGGATCATGATTCGACGAGCACGTGTCGTGATCACGACAGAGAGTATTTCTTGACACCGAGTACACGTGTCACTATCTTGGGGTGTCCGAAAAATGTCCCATCAACTGCCCCTAGCCTTCAGTCTTCTGACACCGAGGACACGCGTCGTAAGGAGATGAAGGGTTCTGCAACTACCCCAACCACTTCATCATTACCTCTAGTCGCTTTCCTCCACTTAGGAGGTCGTGCGCATTAAATGCGCCTCTTCGTGTTTCGTGCCCAATGATGGGGATGGGTACTATATAAATGGGTTCTGTCTCTCCCTCTCACACTTCGCCATTTCGAACTCTTTAGAGAGCCCTCGCCTGAAATCTCGCCGGAGACCCACTTCCTTACGTTGTCTACAAACCAATCTTCACCGAAGTCTTAAGGCCAGCAGACCCATCCTTGCTTCTGAACCTCCTGGAGGAAGGAACCACTCCAAGTTTTGAAGAAAACCTTCGTTCAAGTTCTGGTGAGTCCTTGTATTTTCCTTCTCTCCGCCCTTCTGTCTCTTCTTCTCCTCTTTCTCTTCTCTTTTTTTTTTGTTTTTTGATTCTCCGATAATCGGAGGTGTTTCTGGTTGTCATTCTGTGACCAACCTTCAGGAAACCCCTAGGGGATCTTCGTAAAAAAAATGTCCTTCCTCTTTAGTTTTTATCTTCTTTGGAGATGCCCCGACGTCGGCCTGTTACCGAGGATCCCCAGGCCAGTTCCTCGAGGCCCGGAAGTACAAAGTGAAGGGAGAGGAGCAGATTAATAGGTTTAGGGCTCGATACCGCATTCCCCCAAACGTAGGTATAGATGAGTATGACTCAGTTTTGCACAACCATATTATCGGGGCCAAGAATGAGATGCCATTTTTCACCAAGGCAATCATAGAGAGTGGAATTAGGTTCCCCCTGCCTCCTCTACTCCTCCAGTTCCTCGCCTATTTTAGAATCTTCCCGGGGCAGTGTTGCCTTAACCTATTTAGGATAATAATGGGGGTCTTAAAGCTTAACAACCGTCTCGGGGTAAACGTTGGGCTCAACGATATCTTTTTTTGCTACTCCCTGTTGAGGGTCATGCCTCAGCAGAATTTCTACCTCAAAGCCAGGGATCCCTCCATGTACCTTGTAACTCACCTCCCTGACTCGGACAAAGGATACAAGGATGACCTTCTGATCTTCAGTGGATCCTGGCAGCATGGGACCGATCTCGAGTACAGTGGCCTGATGTGCCCTTTTGAATGGAGAACGACAAGTACGTCAGCCTCTCCGAGTCTACTATTTTTGTCCTTGGGATTTTTTTTAGAAGTGTTAATAACATTCTTTCTTATGCAGACGTCTCCGCCCGGGAAGTTGCCCCTCCCCCTCGGTCCTTGGTGAACTTTGCTGACCTTGTCACTGTTTGGAGATTTGTTGGCAACGAAGGGTTAGACCGGGCTGCTCACATCCTCCTCAACTACACTCCTAGGTATAAAAAGTTCTCACAGCTCCCCCAGCCTTTTGAGTCATCGCGGTGTTCTGAACTCTTCGATCAGGCTGCGCAACAAGAGGCCGAGGAGAACTTGGAGGAAGACCCCGACAGGGCTACCGAGGCGGAAGTAGAGGGTGTCCTTGAAGTTGAGGAGTTCGAGGCCAGAGAGGCTTTGGTGCCTTCGCACGCCGAGGTGGAGACTTTAGGGAGAGATTCGTGGCCTGACTTTCACATCCTTCAGTCCCTAGACGCAGAGGACGCCCTCGAGGTAGCCATGTCGCACACGCCTCGTATCGACCTAGGATTCCTGAGGCAGAGGCAAGCCCTTGCCACCAGGAGAGGACGGGGGTCAACCAGTAGCGCCCCATCAACAAGTACCAGCGCCAACCCCCCGATTCTGAGGTTTATCGGTCGGGGTCAAGTGCGGGACCGAGACCCCAAGTCGAGGAGGAGAGGAGGACCAAGCAAAGGCACGACGGCCCGGACAGGGGATCCAGGGCCCCCTCCGCTCAACAGCCAAGCGGGAGAGGTCAAGGGTTACCCCCTTCACCCCAACAGCAACAGCCGCAGCAGAGGCAACAACAACAACAGCAGCGGTAACAACAACAACAGCAGTAGAGGCAGGCTCCAACTCCCCCTCCGTAAACGGTAGAAGCCGCAGAGTGGAATCCTCGGGCCACTGATCATATGAACCGGGTGATCAAGGTCGATGATTCCATTCTGTAGGACCCCCATGTCGCCAACGCAGTGAGCGAGATGCTCCATTTCGAAGCCGATATAGAGGCTCATAGGGGGCGAACAACGAATACGTTGTTCCGTTCCATCATTCATAATTCCCTGGTGGTAAGTTCATATTTGCTTCAGTCTTTTCTTGTCGTGTTACTTTTAATTGACAAGTCCTTTCCTTCGCAGGCCTCCCAACAGATTTTCATAATCGCTGCGCGATATTATGCAGCTAGGATGGACCTCCAACGGAACCAAGAACAGAAGGAAGAGGCCGAGGGAGCTCTGGCCAGTGCTAAGGAGGATGTAGCTGCCAGGGACTCCACCCTCACGGGGCAGGCTACTCAGATTGAGCAACTCCTCAAGGATGGCGAATCGACGAAGGTCGGCGCTGAAAACTAAGTGTTGCCTTGGCCGACGTTGAGAGGAAGATCACGCAGCAGACACAACGGCTCTCTATGGCAAAGGAGAGGGCAGTAGGGTCAGAGGAGAATTGTCTGGCTTTGACCTAGGAGTTGGACAGGATCAGGGCCGAGGCGGAGAACAGGAAGTTCGAGGAGCAAATTCGAGATGAGTTTGCCAACGACGAGCTGTCTGCCCTCGAGGAGAACAGTAAGGAATTCTTCAAGAAGGGGTGGGATGAAGCGCTTCGTGCTGTCGGTATCCTTCCAGACACCCCATTCTTCCAAATGCATAGTTACGTGCCATCAGCAGAGGTGGCGCAGGCCGAGGCCGAGATTGCTGCCGAGGGTGCGACTCCAACGCCGATGCAGGTTTTGGCAGACCCGCCCGAGGAAGTGATTCTGGTTCCATCCAACGAGGTTCTGTCGGACTTAGCCCCCGACCACAATATTCAACAGACTCTTCCTGAAGCTGATTCAGTCCCAGCTCTGCCTACTCTCGAAACTGCTCAACCCTTTTGTGTTGATTCGCCTTGTAGCGATGTATTGGAGATGCCCGGGGCCAAATGAAAACTTTTTTTTTCTCTTTCTTTGAATTGTACTCCTTCTCTTGTAGCTCTCGGGGACGCAAAGCCCCTCTTTTGAAATGAAGCTTTTTATGAGTACTTACATTTCATTACGCACATTTTCTCTCTTTTTTCTTTTTGTTTGAAAGAACTTGATAGCCCCGACACCTGGGCAGCAGTTTGGCTGGCCCGCCCGATTGGTTCAGCTTCATCATTGCTA